CACGACAGGCACAACACAATGCTTGGCTTTCAAAGAAAACCCCCAGAGAGTCCTTGAAGAGACCAGCATGGCCACGTCTTCGACCTTTACCTGTTTTCTTCTCCGCTGTCCCTCTATCACAACAGATGCCTTCTTCCCTCATCCCTGCATGAGCCTCAGCAACAGAACCCTGGGACACTCCATCTCTCCTGTGTGGTGACATCTGGAGCACCCGCTCTCCTCCCACAGTGGGCTCAAGCAATGCAGGCAAGATATCCCAAACATTCAAAGCCTCCACCCCATCTGGGAGTCACCCTCTCCTCGCCAGCCAAACTCACTTGAACTCCAGGCATTTGGTGATCTCTTTCTGCAGGTGCATAACCTCGTAGAGCAAGTTCTGGAGCTGCAGGTGATACGCATCGACCTTCTGCTTTGCCTGAAACACAGATGTGGATAGAGCGGGGGATGAAGCTCGGTTACCTTCTTCCCACCAAACACAAGAGAGTCACCAACACATATCCCCCTTGCCATACCAGCTACAAACAGCGGGCTTTAGGGCATGCAACAATTTATTTAGGGGGAAAAACCAAACCAAACCGAACCAGATATTTTCAAGGGTAGGGAAACCAAACGATTGTGACATCAAACTGATTCTGCTCCCTTCCAGCGTGTTTCAGGGACACAGCACAGGGCAGACCTGCTGGTGCACATGGGCTGAGTACCCTCCCATCCCTGTGCCTCAGTTTCCTCAGTGGTACAATGAAAATGAGTGGTGTTCACTAACTGCGAAAAGTTCTCCGAGAAGTCTCAGTAAGGAGAAATGTATACACATTTCTCAGGCCTGCAGCACACCAGGCTCTCAAGACAGAGCTTTCTGTCTCCCATTATATCTGAGACAGAAGCAGATACCGCTCCTTCATTGTTCGTTATAATTACAGCTTCTGCTGCACCGCAGTAGCCTCCTGAAAAACCTCACATCCAAAACCTACAACCTGGCTGGTGCTAAATTCCTCCCATGCATTCACATGCAGAACAGGCAGAAATGGCAAAGCCTCTGATCCCACTAAATCCTGACCTGTATTCGTCACCCCCCAGTCCCCTCTGTACCTCGTGGGTTTGATCTCTCCCTTTCTTCAGCCGAATATGGGCCAGCCGGTTGAGCTTCTTCAGGGTCATGAAGTGGACGCAGCTCTGAATCCGCCGCTCGTCAATCTCTGTAGCCTGAGTGAGAAGTGGGAAAAAAGGCATTTGAAGCAGGAGAGGTGGCTGTCACCACAAAAGCCCTTTCACTGCAGGTGCTTCCTGCGAGGTATGTTGCAAAGGGGGCTCCGAGCTTTGCTAAGGACCCACAATTAATGTCACCAGGGCTTCTGAGGGAGCCTCCCACCACCAGACTCACCGGTTACCCAACAGAAATAAATGGGGGGGTGCCCTGGCTCACCCTAGTGATTTTTCTCAGCAGTAGGAATAGAAGCGTTTAAGCCTGAAGCGTCCACCCCACTGTGCAGAGGACAGCACAGGTGGTTGCAGCACAAGCTTTCCCGACCCATCAGCACGACCCACGGGGAGCCCAGAGACATTTTAGAAGAACTCAGTCTGCGTAACATCTGCCCAGTCCAGACCAGCACCTCAGCTAAATCGTGTTTTACTTTATTTAAAGGCAGCTGTGCCATTTTCCTGACTCTCCCCAGAAGACGTGATGGCTTCTGCTCCTGTTCCCCTCAGATTAAGGAAAAACATAAAGAACGGAACGCATTAAATCAAGCACCAAGGCTGCTCCTCACATTGTCCTTCATGCCTCTGCTCTTCAGCTCCTGGATTTCAGCCATCAGTCTCTGAAGCTCTTGACAAGTATCTCTGTAGAGTTCGTAGTCTTTGATGGGGTCACGGAGATCCACCTCGCACTCCTCGCTGTAGTACCGAAGGTCCTGCAAAGGCAGAGAGCACGTCCTACAGCTCGTTCCTCCTGCCTTCTCTAGAAAGGGTACCGGAAAAGAAACCGCTGGGTCTTGATTCCCAGCTCTGTCCGTTAATCCCACACCCCAGGAGGCTTTACAGGCAGGAAGAGGGCTCTGTTAACAATCCTGGACACAAACACCACCAGGCATTTAAAACACCTGGGAAGCTCAGATGCCTCTTACACAGTTATTGTAAGTTTAAATTGGTATCTGTCCTGCACCAGGTTTATCCAAATTATTACTACAGAGGATAAACTGGGGAAGGTGACTACTGCTTCCGCTCCAGTCTCCACTCTAGCCGAACCCTGCAGGTTACCCTGCTGCTGCTCATGGGAGCGCTTTAAGCAACTTGCAAGCCCCTGCGGGACCCTTCAGCCTCGTGCTCGCTCTCCCTGTGTCTCAAGAGAATGGTTTGACTCCTTGAACACTGAAGGAAACAGGCGCAGGTTCAGAAACTCAGAGCGGGACTTTCAGAGCCGGCTCAGTGCTGAGGAACGGTCCCACAACTTCCCGAAAGGGAGAATCAAGCCAGCAAAGGGCAGGCGTGAAAGCAGCCCGTTGCAAGGCAGGAGGACACGGGCAGCCAGGGGCCCTACCTGGTCGGCATCGGCCTTGCCCCGCTTGCCCTCCTGCAGGCCCCCATCCGTGCGGATCACTTTGGGTTTCCTCTTCTTGCTGGACTCCGACGACATGGCGCTGCCAGGCAAGGACTGGGGGACGAGAGCCAAAGCCGTCGTCCGTGGTGGGGAGGGAAGGGGGGCAAAGCCGCCCTGGGATCAGAGCCGTCCCGGGCTCCCTCCCACCTCGGGCTCGGCGGACGCCCAGCCCGGTGAGGCCTCGCGCCCGCGGCCTCCT